GGGACTTTGAAAGTGACCATTTGACTTATACTTCATACGACTTATCCCGATATAACGTTTGTAACATTTCAACATTTTTCTATTGTGGAATATTGAACTACAATTGTGTGTGTTTTCCATGGACCCAAGGATTTGAGTTAATCATGTTTCAGTGAATTTCTATCAAATCTTTTTTGTATTACGCAGGTGCCATAGGTATAGGGCAGTGTCCATGGGCCATTCATGTGCCAACGTTGACTGTTAATTAGTCAGGCCATATTGATGCCATATTGTCTGTATATATTTGTGTTATTGTACCATGTGTACCGTATATGACCAGTGTCGGTTTGTTGAAAGATGTACACAGATGAACAGACCCGTGAATATCCGGGTTAGAATTGATCTTCAGTAACCCATGCTTGTCCTAAGAGGCGACTAACGGGATCGGGTGGTCAGGCTCGCTGACTTGGTTGACACATGTCATCGTATCCGAATTGCGTATATCGATGCTCATGCTGTTGTCTTTTCCAGACTCAATTATTTACAGATCGCCGCCATACAGCTGGAATATTGCTGAGTGCGGTGTAAAGCTAAACTCACTCACTCACTCACATATGAACACATGTACACGTTCCGTCAGTCTCGAGTGTCCTAGTATCGACGTGCTTGGATATCGTCTAGTGTCTGGAACATGATGTTAATCTGAATTCAAATTGATAAGAATTCATCAATACTTTACATTTACACATGTCTGCGATGTTTCGACGATTGTTCCTAGCCAAGTGACGTTTTTATTACGTTTGTATGTGTTTCATAAATCACATTAAAAGCCATTTTAATGGCTACATTTAACCATACCCGCTCACTCTGTTCTTCCACAGTTAATATTCTGTATTTCCATCTACGTTATTTTTCATCCACTCCGTTAAAATGCAAATGGTTTTGTATTTATTTATTCATCAAATCGTGAAACACCATGTCTATCCGTTACATGAAAAGTACCGTTTTTTAATAAAAAACCCAAACCCAAACAACTTAAATAAACAATGTATCTGTTTATTCTTGAATGGTTGTTCGTTGTTTCTCACTATAGCTGTTTGTGTAGTTTCCCCAGAAAATCTTTGTTTCCTAGTAACACTGATAACAGAAGTGTAAAATAGGTGTTACATTATGTAGTAAGGTACTGAAAAGAGAATAGAAAGTTATGTCTGGCTTTTCCGAACTGTGTGAAAATTTGGACAAATGATACCGTGAAACCTACATACTTTCCAAGAGCGTCCGTTGGGGTAGCTCTCGGATGGTAGTTCAGGATGGTGGACAAGAGACGGAAGGCAAAAGTCAGCGGTAGAGTTGAAGACAGCAGCAGCCATGTTTATTATGGTTGGGGAACAATGGTAGAAATGGTACATAAGATGGAAATCACGTGACAGAACGCACATCGGGGCCGAGTGGCCAATGTTCCCGATGTCGAGACCCGCACTGTCACTTACACACATTCAGAAGTCGGACGGCGATTCTTCGTCGTCGACGTAGTCGTTGGTGAGGCGACGGCCTTAGCCGACGCCCAGACTAGCCGCACAGTCCGTACGCTTCTGTCGATGATCTGGGCCCGTCTCGTCGCGTCGCGTCGTGTCTGACTGATCTCCCTGAGTGACCATGTCAGTCAGGTTTTATACATATGGACATTAGGCCACGTTAACAAGGTCACTGACCTATGTACATGTACATACGTAAGATCCGCCGACGTAGGGCGGTGTTAATTGGCATTTATTGATAGCATTAAGAATTAAGGGTCCTGCCCGGGGGTGGGGTGGGGGTGGGGTGTGTGTGTGTGTGTGTGTGTGTGTGTGTGTGTGTGTGTGTATATGATAAGATGGCTACACCGAATGATTGCTGAATACATTAAACAGACAAAGGGATAGAATTTCGGTGCACTTTGGATATATATTGAAACAATTATGTTGTTTGAATGAATGAAGTTTTACAGAAACTTATTGAAATGGTTTACTCTATGACAATACCAACGCCCGAAATTTCACATGAGGGGTGGGATATCATTTTCATTTATCATTTGTGTATTTTCACTGGAAATTTCACGTTGGAACGATATGTTGAAATCTTAAGTGAGAATGTTATTGGGAATGTGTGGGGACTAATGACGGGGGACAGAATATCCCGAAAAGAACTTAGAAATATTGAGGATATGAAGAAAGAAGTGCTCGGATATTGGGATACGCAGTAACACGATTTCCTTAAAACTTTGGACCGCCTCCGTGGTTTAGTGGTTAGAGCGTCCGCCCGGAGAGCGGAAGGTCGCGGGTTCGATCCCCGACCCCGTCATACCAAAAGACGTAAAAATATGGTACTTGTTGGTCCCTGCCTGGCGCTCGGCATTAATGGGTACAACAAGGACTGGTCGTCTCGGAGTCAGTATAATGTGTCTGGGTGGGGTATTCATACATCACTGCGTATCTCAGTGGGCTAGCACTATAAAACCAGCTTTAGCCTGGGCTAGTACAAGCAGCCGCACATACACATACACACGCATGCACGTCGTCATAAGAGCGATATATTCTCAGGCACGACGTTAAAACCCAATTTCACCTCACCTACAAACTTTGATCGGTAGTGTACCTACAGGCGCATTCAGTCATGTATTGCGGAGCAAGGAGGTCTCACAAAGTACCGAAAAGACACTTAGACTGTAAGAGAATCATATCTCAACATATTCATTAAAGTAAAACTTCTATAGTTTACATACATGTATTAGATATTTGCCGAAACAACTTTCTCAATAATTTCTGGGAATACTATACCCCAGTGGTTGAATCATTTGCCCGTCACACTGAAGCGTTGTTTATTCCCGAGAAGGGAACTGTGATACAAGTCTGTGTGCAGTGAGGCTGCAGATATATATCATTGCAGTACTAGGGACGTCATAGCCGTGAGGATCCGGGTTAGAATGAACCTTCAGTAACCAATCCTTGTTGCAAGAGCAGACTAACGGGATCGGGTGGTCAGGCTCGCTGACTTGGCGGACACATGTCATCAGTTCCCAATTGTGTAGATAGATGCTCACGCTGTTGCCATCAACAAACCAACTTGGGACGTCACGTCGCTACCATTCAATTCAATGCTTTATTGTACGAAAGGCCATAGACCCATATACAGTCGAGTTACATATATTTCTGAAGCAGAACAAAAATACCATGAGGTTAACAATAGGAGGTTTAGCGTAATGTTAAAGCATGGTGTATAAACAGAGCAATTTGAAATTGGGTTGTAGGGTTATTGCAGGATAACAACTTCTTAAAATTATATATAGACATGTAGTTATATGGAGGTAAATACTTAGATCTAAGTTGAGCATAGATGGGGCAGACGTGAAATGGTACTCGTTTTCTACTCCATTATTACATATTTTGCAAAGTCGGACTGATTTCTCGATGCCGTGATGTCTTCCTTTGTTCACGTCCAATTCACTGACACAAAGTCTGAATCGTATAAGGGTATTTCGAAGAGATTTAGATTAAATGTTGTGAAGATAGGTTTCGGTTTCAAAGTTCGATTTTATAATGCGATATGTGTCGTATCTTGAGCTCTCCTCCAGACGTGAATGCCAATCCTGTTTCAACATGTCAGTGGCGCGAGTACGAAATATTTTCAGAAAGGAAAAGTCTCCCACTGTTTGTGAAGTCCATACGAGGCCGAATCCATAGGCGAATAGTAAGTTCTATATTGATGAAGCCCACGTGTTTTTGTCCGATTTCGTTTTGGTGGTAAAGCATGTTATATGGCTTTCTGGGCTGGCATATGAATCAGTTTAATCCAGTAACGTAAGCATCTAGTGTAAGATTCGGTGTTCAAAGGGTAGCGTCCACACTCACCATACACCATGTTATTATAGGAGTTCAACATTTAAGAATTTTTTACAAGCGAATAAATGTAGTTTTTCTATAGGATGAAAACTGTGACATCCCCATATTTTCGGAGTAAAATAGGTTGAATTTGGACGTTGATTATTTAAAAAAATATTTGGGGTGTTATGCGTTAACTTGCAGTTGACAAAATGCCTTCTTCACTCTGGCTGCTAGTTGTACAGATTTACTCAGGTTCACCGACTCAACCATTATTATTTACCCGTTCGAACAACCCATTCTGTAATGGTTAATTTAGTGGTTTAAGCGTTAGCTTGTCACGCCAAAGGCGTGAGTTCGATTCCTAACTGTAAAACTCAGTTCTTGTGTCCCCCGCCGTGACATTGCTGGAATTGAACCGCATTTAGTTATCTGGGAAGTGATGTTTTTTGTCGCAGATGTTTATTTGTCGCAAGGCAAAAATAGGGAGTGACGATCGTTGCAGCGGTGAAACGGGTGAAACGGGGACCCAGGATCAGTGGGACTGGTGTTCGAATCCCAAATTTGCCTCGATTATCCTAGCTTGTCGGCGGATTATCCATGCTCATGGATTTCAACAAGGTGGTACACATCTAAACCCTGAGTTACCTTCGGCTTTCATGTCACATTTATTTATAAACTTACATTCTGTGCAACACTCAAATACAACAGCATGCTTGATGGTTCTCCCAAAACAAAGGGCGGTGGGGTAGCCTAGCGGTCAAAGCGTTGGCTCGTCACGCCGAAGACCCGGGTTCGAATCCCCACATGGGTACAATGTGTGAAGCCCATTTCTGGTGTCCCCCGCCGTGATGTTGCTGGAATATTGCTAAAAGCGGCGTAAGACCAAACTCAGTCAGTCAGTCAGTCAGTCTCCCAAAACACTCCTTAACAGATCTTCACGGGTCCCCACGGTGACTTTGGGTAAGAATGTTTTCTATGCGACCAGGTGTCAGGGGTCTGGTCACATGGTTGATTGCATATCATGGAGGACGATGAGATAGATCGGGTATCAATATCAATCACTGGATTGCCTGGCCCAGACCCAGTAACTCGGTCGCCATCATACAACTGTAATAGATCTGAGCGCGGCATTAAACAAATCAGGAAACGGATATGCCAGGGTATTCTTTGATCTTTATTCCAAACAGATTATCAACATGTTCAGATAAATATATCTTGTACAAATCAACAATGTAAAGCATGTACAATGAGACACACAGGTACATGCAATGCTTCATTCAGACATCTCAACACGTCTCAATAGTTAAAAGCAGTTTTTCCAATAGATTTCTGAAAGAGTCATTTACAAACGTTTGCACTAAAAATGATTCGCAATGATATGATATAAAATACATTGTATATTCACGACCAGCAGCAGTGGCAAGAACGATAGGGTACGTCATTGTATTGAGCTAATAAATTCCAAAATCATTCCTGTACATCCAGGCTGAACAAACTTCTGTGCATTCGTGACCAACTCGTGTTATTCCGGGACAAGCCGAATTGGAGCATTCGTCACCACTCTTGCCCCTTTCCGTACCCTCCAAGAAGTTATTCGGCTTGTCCCGGAATAACACGAGTTGGTCACGAATGACTCCATTCGTGACCACTCGTGACATTCCGGAATAACGGAAAGGGTCGAGTGGTGACGAATGCTACAGCTCGTGGTAAACACGTTGAATATACAGCAGTCTTACTTTCAGCTTGACGTGTACATATGTAAATATAATTATATAAGCAGTATATCTAAAATAGACGTACTTCGAAGAGTACGGAGATATGTCTCACAGGCCTAGGCTTCGTCAATACCCATAACTTGATGACATCGTCACCTGGAGCATTCGTGACCAACTCGTGTTATTCCGGGACAAGCCGAATAGCGAGGTTACGGAAAGGGGCGAGTGGTGACGAATGCACCTGGAGTTCGATGTGTCAAGGGCGATAACCTCGTAGACTTTGTTCATTGAGGATATTGCGCACAACAATAGAACTGCATGGTGAGATTGTCTTGCAAATATACATGTACATACAATATGCTGCAGGCAAATTTAAACATTAACAAAAGGAATAATATCGGAAATTTTAATGCTGAATGTAATCTGGATATTGTGAAAATGTATTTTAGCAGTGTGGAAAACGTTCGTCTTGTACTGGAACCGTTGAATTTCAAAGAATTACAAAGAATATATAACCTGTATCATATATACAATGAAATTCGGAATACTATATTCACGTACCAATCCATATTACACAGGTTCCATACCGGTATCAGATGTCTAAATTATGAGACATTAGAAACAACACATATTTGGGCCGACAATATAGATCTACTCTGATGAAGAAGATTGCTATACTTTCTACTGCCAAAGGACACGATCGGTCAACCTGAGACACAAGCTTCTCAGCGATGCAGTTCTTACTCGCACCTCAGCATCTATGGTTGCGAGACAAGAGTGCCACCTGCCGGCGCTGAGAAGGTGTTAATTTTGTACTGTCCCCTTCCTCTGTTGCGCACGCTGGAGACCAGTCAAGCGTTTGCGTGACATTTCCAATACATACGTCATGCAGGTATCCTTGACGTCACACGCATTAAATGTTCTCAAAGTCTTGTGATACACAACCACATGAAAAACAGACATAAAAATATAAACAATATTTAATTGTAAACATAACGGTCAACAAAAAGGACGGAATCACGTAATCTACCTTCAACAACAATCACCTAAAACAGTATGGGTACACGTATATGCCCTGACCAGGTCGTCGCTGTTTATGTGCAGGTTTCTGATTAACAGTCAGTTCCTGCTCTGCACACACTAATATTTTTCTTAAAATATTGTCCACTCACCATCTTAAAATATAACCACGCTGTTTCTAATAAAATAACAAGTTTTTATTTTTATAAACACACATATATATAAAGTAACTTTGCCTATAGCCACGTACTTAGTCTCCCAGTAAATACATAAGCAAATCCAACTAGATTCGCGGATGATTTGGTGTAAGTCAAAACATCTTCTAATTGTGATCTTCTTAAGTTAATATTTATGGCTCGATTTGGATTCTATTTTCATTTCTTAAGAAAATTGTATTTCTACTACTTTATGTCTACCAATAACAATAAATTAGGGTTTTTCGCCGCCTTTAGCTATATTCCAGGGCCTAGATTTTCGAAGCTCTCTTAGCGCTAAGATAGTCGTAAGTTAATGTTAATGTATGAAACTAACGACTATCTTAGCGCTAAGAGAGCTTCGAAAATCTAGGCCCTGGAACGAATATGCAATGTTCCGTGACGTAACAGTACGTAAGTTGGTTTAATGCTGCTTGGAATATCATGACCTATACGGTAACTGATGGAAAGCCTGCATATATTGAATAGGGGGACACAACAACACGACCCAGAAGAGACAGGTACAGTCTGTATATAGATGTTTCATTCACAACAAACTGGGTAACCGTCTATACTACTACATAACAGAAATAAACGGGACCAGTGACATTACCGCGGCGGGTCTACAATGTAGTGGGGGTATGCTGAAGATATGTACGAAGTTGACGCTATATACAGTTATATTTAAGACGAATAATTTCCGTGATAGATGATTGTGATCTTGATGCACAGGCACTTTAGAGAGATTTGGAGCAGAATGACGGACGCTGTCACTTCATGGACTAAAACAAGACCAACTTTACACGTGTTGGACACTGATAAATATACTTCTCCAACGGTATGGGATAGGGAATGTAACAGGGTCATGTTTGAGGGGATGTTTCGGAGGATGGCGTGCACGCCCGGTTATGCTGATATAAAATATAATTTGGTTAAACTTTGTCCGGAAGGCTCGTAACAACGTGTACAAAAATATTAAACACGATCGCATAGTTGCCTTCATCAACTATTACATTGACTTGATTGCGTATCACAACTACACATAACCATGCCAGAACATGCAGCCTCAGATCTTGCTTGAAGTTCACCATGTAGGCTTTATAACAAATACAACATGCATTTGGTTTATGCTTTTCTCAACGAATATATGGTCTATGGTAATTTTTCAGATTTAATATCGCCACAAATACAGGCCTGAATATCCAGTGCTGTGTCTTGATGACCAAAATACATGTTTTGGTTTTGGTTTATGTGATTTTCTCAACGAATATATGGTCTATGGTAATTTTCAGATTTAATATAGCCACAAATACACGCCTGAATATCCAGTGCTGTGTCTTGATGACCAAAATACATGTTTTTGGCATTATGATTTTCTCAACGAATATATGGTCTATGGTAATTTTTGATAATTAATATAGCCACAAAGACACGTCTGAATATCAAGGGCTGTGCGTTGGTGATCTCTCTGTACAAAGCTCATCATTTGGCCATGCCTGTTCTTCCTATTCCTTGTATTGCAGCTTGTTCTGTGCAGCGTTAGCCTCAGATCCCCCGTACGACTCTACTTCTTCAATCATACCTCTCGACTGCAACAGAATTGTATTATATAGATCAAGCGCAGGTCTTTTCTTATTACACATAAAGAAAACAATTCATAATAACGATCTACTGCTGTATTGGGGGCGGTGGGGTAGCCCAGTGGTTAAAGCGGTCGCTCGTCACGCCGAAGGCCCGGGTTCGATTCCCCACATGGGTACAATGTGTGAAGCCCATTTATGGAGTCCCCTTCCGTGATATTGCTGGAATATTGCTTAAAGTGGCGTAAAACCCAACTCACTCACTCACTCTTGCTGTATTGACCTTAACACAGAATCACTATGTACAGATTGCTATGTGGATTGGGTCCGATGAGTATTATGTTGTCAGTGGTACACTGAAGAATTGAGGATCTCTTATTTTCCAAGAGGCGCAGAGTGGCCTTGTGGTTCGCTTGTCACGCCGACGACAATGGGCACAATATGTGAAGCCCATATTTGGTGTCCCCGATCGTGATATTGCTGGAATATTGCTAAAACTAAAACTAAACTCACTCACTCACTCTAGTTTTTCAAATATTTCAGGTTTACTCAGGTTAACAAACACGCAACACTGTTATACATGGAAACAGACGCACGCGCACACACACAATCACACATTATTACATAAACACACATTATCACGCATACGCACAAACACAATCACAACACTTTCACACACAAACACAAACACGTACAAACGCAGATACTCACGAACTCAATCATAAAACACTTACATATAAACACAAACACACACACACACGTGTATACAGAGAGTCGCACGAACTCAGTCATACACAATCACAATCGTAGGTACACGAACACAATCGCAACACCATCACACATACACGCACTCACTCACAACACAATCACACAAACGGGCACTAACACGAGAATTCAGTCACATTATCGTACACAAAAACAAGCACGCACAAACGCAGTCAGACAGGCACTTAGACAAAGCATTGTCACACGCCATGACACACAAACAAGCACGCACAAACGCAGTCAGACAGGCACTTAGACAAAGCATTGTCACACGCCATGACACACAAGCACAAGTGCGCGCACACACGTACTCAATTAAATCACAAACGCAGATACACGAATTCAAACACACTACCATTACACACACACACACACATAAGTGTGACCACATACAGAATCTACAATCACGACACCCCACCCTAAGGGTCCGTATCCCCACTACACTCACCCAGACGTAGAAGGTAGCAGCTCCAGCACTGACGTCCCGGATGTGATCCTTGGAGATGGGGTCGAGCACCTTCCTGGCTGAGCGGGAGACAGACAAGGGGATGTCCTTCGGTTTGAAGTTGGAAACCTTCCTCATCATCGACTCCTTCCCCGTCTTCCCCATCAAGGCCTGGACGTTACGCCACACCTGCACGTGTAACATAGACATGTAGACATACGAAGGCATAGGTCGCACCTGCACTTGTACCATAGGCTGTTAGACAAATAATGGCATACGCCACACCTGCACGTGTAACATAGACATGTAGATATACGATGGTATAGGTCGCACCTGCACGTGTACATTAGGCTGTTACAAAAACGGTGGCATACGCCGCACCTGCACGTGTGGCTTAGGTTGTTAGACAAATGATGGCTTACGCCGCACCTGCATGTGTATCTTAGGTTGTTAGACAAATGATGGCCTACGACGCACCTGCACGTGTGTCTTAGGTTGTTAGACAAACTATGGAATACCCCCAATTGCCCGTCTTACATAGGTTTTTACACAAATAGTGACATAAGCCGCAAATGTAGGTGTTACATAGGCTGTTAGATAAATGATAACACATGCCGCTCCTGTCGTGTATATGTATGTCGTCATGTATACAAAGAATGGAATGCCCAACATCTGCTGTAATATTACAGGCAAATACACAACTGATGACACACTCCACATTCATGCCAAAACTGAATACATTTTATTCAAAGTGGCGTAAAACTCCTCTCACTAACACCCGGTCGGATTGCCCACCTTAAGGTCCTTCATGCTGTGACCGAGGAGTAGGAATGTCGCCATGAGAGTCTGATGAACGCCATCTGGGGGGATTGGAGTAGTTCCTAAGCTCGGACACTGTCGTCTGCTGCATGTTGAGCACCGCGTGACGCAGCTTCTCGATCTTCTGGAGATGCTCCTGCAGCCTGGACGCCATTGCGATCTGGAGGTCAAGCTGGTGGTCCGAGTTCGTCTCCTTGGCCCGTTTGATGGCGCGATCTAACGAGGGTAGATCGCGTTTCTGGGATGCGTCCATTAGTTCTGTAGAGGGAAATAAATGCAGGTGTAAATGAGTTTAGAGTGAGTATGAGTGAGTTTAATTTTACGCCGCAATCAGCAATATTCCAGCTATATGAGAGCGGTCTATAAATAATCGAGACTGGACCACACAATCCAGTGATCAACAGCATGAGCATCGATCTACACAATTGGGATAAGATGTCAACCAAGTATTACGACAAGATTCGGTTACTGAAGATCAATTCTGACCCGTATCTTCACGGGTGAGGTGTGAATGAAGCGTTGATTAAATGATTGTTTAATGCATCAATAATTTTTATATGATGACAAGGTTATAGAAACTAGTTTTAAAACTGTTTTTTATAAAAAAAAATGTTTCAACTACTGGGCGCATGAAGAATAAGTGTAATATGTTGAATAAAATTTCCAATAGAACGAGAGTAACATCTTCTCTGTCGAACCTATGTCACTATATGATGTATATAATATACACGTTGAAATGGGGCCAACATCCAGAAGGCAATAAATTACGAAATAACATGCAAACCCTTCACGTCTTAAGCCACATTTCATCATGGAAAGCATGCCACTTGACGTCCAGATCTGGACATCTTCAATAGTACCAGTTTGTCGCCGACGCCTGGCGTACTCACCTCCTTTGATCTTGAGGACCTCTAGAAGTCTCTTGGCCTTTGCCAGAAGCTCATCGCCTTTACCAGGGTTGCATTCCATATACGTCGCTATGGCTGCCTCCAGCTGTCTCTCGTCCTTTAGGTCTATGGCTCGTTGCAGCTGCTTCATGGCGTGTCGCTTCTTCTCCTCTGTGACAGCAAAAGTGGAATTATAGAATGGCATGAGGTGGCCATTAGGTGACATTAGGAGGGCATGAGGTGGCCATTAGGTGACATTAGGTTGGACATGAGGTGGCATAAGACGGAACATGGGGTGGCCGTGCACATGGTAGCATAACATTCATTAGCAATGAACAACAAATCACGTTACATGTATTCCCGAAGTTAATAAATATCGTTTAACGTATGACCCCTATTCGTAAGACGATAGACTAACGCTTAGTCTCTGAATACGTGTACATATTTGATAGTAACAAACAAACCCATTTACATCGAAAAGGAGCCCTACGGAGACCAGATATTCAGAGCCTGATGAAATCTAGACTTGCTTCATTTAGGGCTTTAGCATTGCAGGGACGGCTAGGCAGTAGGGAAAATAATGTGGTTCGGGGACTGTGAGACAGACTACATTGCAGGGACGGCTAGGCAGTAGGGAAAATAATGTGGTTCAGGGACTGTGAGACAGACTACTGTGTCTAGTAAGACGAATGTGTCTTGATGGACTAAAGTTTTGTCTCTGAACATCAATAAGTTACCTACAAAGACATTTAAATTGAAAAGGAGCCCGAGTAAGGTTGGAGATTGCCCGAAATCTAGACTAGCTCTTTTAGGGCTTTTGCGTTACAGCAAACGTAGGGTGGAACAGACAATGACGTAGTTCAGGGACTGCGAGACAGACTATGACGGTGACAATAACGTTATCTGAATACCATCACATTGTTGTGCATACTTATTGTCATCTATACGGTTAGTTTCTACAAACGGCATAGAGTCTGCAGCTATCTGTTAAGGGTTGACCGTCTACAAGGTGTGACTACGCTTACTCAGGTAGTATAGCTTTTATATCTACATACTACAAGTAACCTTCCCTCTGTGGAGATCATGCAGATAGTTAGCTTGACGGGGGCACAGACACACTAATCATTCTTATTATGCTCAACCCAAAAAAGTTAAGGAACACCCCAATATTCAATATCTAAGCATTATTTGGATCACAATATGAACTATTAAATACTTTAATGTTGATAATTGGGGTGGTCCTTGACTTATTTGTTGAGTGTATGTTGTGGATGGTGGTTTTCTTTCGTCCTGGCATATGTGAGTGACTCATTAGTCTAAAGACGCAAACTGGATTGCGTTTTTCGGTTGCGTTGTTTATTTAATTCTAGTGACTGACTGGTCTTCATTTACAGCAAAATCAACATCAAGGACCTGCAGAAAACAAAAGCTATTGGTCGGAGTGGTTTTCAGTCGGCTTCGGGCCTAAGGACGGACGTTAATTTGGAACGCTGCAGTCAACTACTAAAAACAAATGAATACTTATGCATAAAAACGATTCAAATTATATAGACGGGGGTACACGCTTCACTGCGTCACCATGGTAACATGCTAGACATTCAAGCAGCACAGGGGGAACACATTAATCTTGATACACAGAGGTGTTAATGACACTTGTTTGGGACCCTGTAAGTAGAGGGTCTGAACCAAAACTACAAAGTAGTGCTCTAAGGAGGTATTATCTAAAATGATAAAATGATGCTTGAAAGGGAAATTAAAAAAATAATGTTAAACTATTCTACCTAATAAAGATGTGAGTAAACTACTTCATCAATCTGTGAGGGGCGATCAGGTAGCCTAGTGGTTATAGCGTTCCCCCATCACGCCGAACACCCGGGTTCGATTCCCCACATGGGCACATGGGCTTGTAACGCTGAAAACTGCCATCAAGGTATCTACTGTCACTGACGGGGTCTTAGTACTATAAAAAAGGACAGTACTAATATCGTCAGTAACAGTAGATACCTTAATGGCAGTTTTTAGCATTACAAGACCCAGTACACATGGTTACAATGTATGAAGCCCATTTCTGGTGTCTTCTGGTGATGTTGCTGGAATATTGCTGAAAGCGGCGTAAAACTTAACTCACTCACTCATCAATCTGTGACAAATCAAAGTTATTCTATAGTCTGTGAATGTAAAGGCTGCAAGACCCGGTAAAGCGTTAACGTTACACTACAAATGTTAGGTGAGAAGGATTCTTCATCTATGTGAAATGACCTAAAGGGTAAGGTGTGAGGGGGGCCTCTGCTTTAAGGAAATTGTGACTACTCTCTACGTCGGTTTCATGCATGGACGTTAACATCCAGCCATGCGCTACCTTGATTCGGTTTGCGAGCTGTCCCCTTTTGAACACCTGGTCGTTTGCCACCTTGTATGAAAACCGCATTGAATCAAATATACTGAAATGAACTGAATATAACACTGACTTCTAAATGTTTCATGTCTTACCTTAAAAACTCTTACTATCATAACTGATAATAAATAGCATGTTTGGGGATTACACTTTCTCAGTTAAGTACGAATTCTGGCACTTGAGCCCAAACTGGGATTCGAACCCAAACTCTCAGAGTGATGCACCAAATCGCCAGCAAAGTCTAGAATCTATCCCAAAGTCTGACAACTTTGTGTAGACCTTTGACAAATGTAAATTGCCACGGCTCATATGGCCGAATGCTGTGAATACACAATGTCATTTGGTAGTGGTCAACTATAACAAATATGTGTACTTCACAAACAAAGTATAATCCCATATATAAAAACTCTTACATACGACCACTGTCTAAAATATTTGCGTATATATTAAACTATTAAATTTTTAAACATAAACACTGTGAGGCTGAATGTCATGCATTCCTTATTATTCAAAGTCTTAGACGAAACTAATTCTCGCTCCAGGGCCTAGATTTTCGAAGCACTCTTAGCGCTTAGATAGTCGTAAGTTAATGTTAATGTATAGCACTTACGACTATCTTAGTGCTATCTTCGAAAATCTAGTCCCTGAGTGATAAAACTGTCTCACTCTGCAGTGTTCTATGCACACAATAGTTGCTATTTTATGTTTCAAATGATTCGTTAATGGTCACACAGATATGACACCTACCTTCTGTTCTCTTCTGCTTGTCCTCCTCGTTGTCCTCTGGCGAGAGAGACGGACCTCGACCATTGGAGGTGTTCCCTCCTTCTTCATTCATCGTCTCCATGATCATCTTTAGGTTGGTGTTATACAGGTCACCAGGGCGCTTCCGGTTCACCTGGTACCGGGCCACGTTCTTGACCACGCCGTTCTCGTCGATGTCGTAAAGGTTGAGCAAGTACTCGCCGTATTCCTTCAGCTCGACCTTCACGAGGTTCATGTCGTCCTGGGAAATGAACTCAATCTGGTCACTGCTCGGAGGGTCATTAGCGTTACGCCTGTGCACCGCGGCAACAGCCCTCTTACAACCAGGCGGGACTGGGATCACAACAACGTCTTCAGACGTCTCCACAGTCTCCGTAGGGATGACGAGGTCGGCGCCGTCAATCTCGTCATCAATCTTTTCGTCAGTGTAGCCAGGTTTCCCTGTCGATTCCACCAAGTAGCTGTGGACGTTGTATATCCTGTTGGGGTTGCCCTTCTGTCTGGCAAACACGTTTAGAGAGTACTCCCCAGCCTTGGGCATGTCCACGTCAAACGTCCATTCCCCGTTCTCATTCCGTGTAGCCACCGCTGTCTTCTTCAGAGCCTTTGGATCGTTAGAATGAATTTCACATATCATCTCCACATCATTCCTTGCATTGAACTTAAGTGACACCTTCCCATCCTTAGCGTCAATATGAGCACCAGGATGGGATACGGCTTTTACGCCAAGTTCATCAGAAATAGGTGACTTTCCTAGAAATCCTTCCGCAAAGTTGGGGAATGGTTGACCACCTCCTTCAACCCCTGTACATTTGATAAGGTAGTTACAGACATTGGGGGCCTCTCCTGGTTTGCCTTCCCCCTGGGCATACAGCTTGAGTGCGTACTCTCCCTTCTGGGGCAGTCTCAGACTGACAACCGCCTCACCATCCTCTTGGTGAGTCAGTGCGTACTTGCTGAGGGTGGCGTCATCGATGGCTGCGTGCTTCAGGTTCTGAGACAACTGGATCTTAATTTTCTGGTCTGTCTTAAACCTCACAGTCACCTTTCCGTCCTTGGTCTCTATCAGAGCCCTGTCGTGGGTCGTAGGGTGGAGCCCTGCTTTCTTTGTGATCCCCACCGGCCCCCATCCTAACGGCGGGCAGTCAGGGAGGGGGAGACAGTTCTTCTTTTCTGTGGGGCACTGTATCAAGTACGTACACACAAGGTCAAATATGTCACTTTCCCGGACGTCCAAACCGTACACGTCCATTTTAAACCTCCCCTTCACAGGAAACCTTAAAGAAAAGTCAACCAAGTCTTTACCGTGTTCAAAGAACACGAACCTGTCTAGGAAAGCGTCTATTTTGCTCTCGGATTCCATATGAGTACGAGACTTGTACAACATGTATTTAAACCGGTAATGTTCACTCAACTCTTGAGGGAGTTGGAAAGGGATATTGATTTCACCGTCTTTCGTAGAGACTGTACACTTCATCTGGCTGGTCGGGAAGGTCTTCATGTCCAGGATATGGAACCGCTCTCGGACATAGAAGTGCTCCTCAAACTCCTTCACAGACACCGGCTTGGCCAACAGCTGCCATTGCTTCTCGTCTGGATAGTGCGTCCAGATGATTTTGTCCGGGTCTGGCAGGAAGTAAAACTCGTTGATCCGATGTTCCGTTATCCCTTCTGCTGCCAATGCTTCCTCCTCCTCGTCATCGACTTTGCCGTCGGAATCTACCAGCGTCCATTCCCCCGACTTCCGGCCGACTACGCATGCCGAAGCCCAGAAGGCGTCCACGAATCGCCATGAGTCGTCAATGTAGACAGCGTTCCACTGGGCTCCCATACTTTTCCGGTCCACCTTTTTACCGATTTCATAGGCGGCGCTCTTGTTCATACCGCTGATGATCATGCAGGGGATGTTGGCCATTCTTGGTGAAAAGACAACATCAAGGATTAGTTACATAATAACTGGTTTCACATTTGTAAAGGTCTCTTTATCAAAGTAACCGCAACACACCAATTAGTCTACAAACACCTTTAGCGTCTGTTAATTAGGAGATTCACCTATTCTTTATTTAGGTTTTGAGATGGTTAAAACCAAAGCTAAAATATCTTTTTAACTTACTCATTGTCGTGCACCAATGGCAACGATCGCAATGGCCCCCCGACAAAAAACAATCACCAGTGTTTTAGCATCTAAGCGCATCTACCATCCTGTATTATACACGTGTATGTAAAGACGCGTAAAGTACACAAGTTTAGAAGCGCATGACAGGTCATGTACAATATCACCCGTGAAAGTCCGGGTTAGAACTGGTTTTCTCCCGTTGCTTCTATAATTATCGTAAGAGGCGACTAACAGGATCGGGTGGTCAGGCTCGCTGACACGGTTGACAAATGTCATCGTATCCTAATTGCGCAGACCGGCGTTAAACAGCAAGGGGGCGGTGGGGTAGTCTAGTGGTTAAAGCGTTGGCTCGTCACGCCGAAGACCCGGGTTCGAATCCCCACATTGGTACAATGAGGGAAGCCCATTTCTGGTGTCCCCCGCCGTGATATTGCTGGAATATTGCTAAAAGCGGCGTAAAACCAAACTCAGTCAGTCAGTCAGTTAAACAGCAAACATACAAAAAACTTTCAAGATACCCCATGGGGCAGCTACCACTGTTTTACACATGGCGGAGTGTGCTGGTAATGGTGGGTTCAGGTCATGGATGTTTGGTTATGACTGGTAAACCAGTGGTTAACTGCATGAGCAACGGTTCGCACCCTGAGTGCACGGTGATACACAGCAAGGAAACAAAGGTGACCATTGTATCAATAACTGTAAAAACAAAGACTACACTTACTGACACAATCCAGAAAATAGATGGGCGTGGTTTCCCTGGTTCTTCTGGATCTTGGAGAAGTATTCCATCGGTGACTGTTTCGGGGGGTCTTCCTCCATCTTTAGGTTGTAGACATCTATTGATGTCAACCAGAGGAAGATGGATCGGACCTTGGATATTTCCGTCCAGTCCGGGCCAGTGAGATACTGGACCAGTTCACGGAACGTGCCGCTCAGCAACTTCAGGGGTGCCTGGAAACAACAAGAAGTGCGCGAGTGAGTATGGTTTTACGCCGCTTTTAGCAATATTCCAATATTTCACACATTGTATTCATAAGGGCATCGAACCAATGTCTTCGGTGTGACGAGGGAACGCTTTAACCTCTACCGCCGGGCTACCCAACCGCAACGAAAATAACAAGAAAGTAAATGTTTTAATATGGTTTAATGAGCGAAATTCAAGCAAAGGCAGGGAACACCTGAAATCGTCTTCACACATGTTACTTCTGGGAGAGTCGAACCGGGAAGTGTAGTGTGACGAGCGAACGCTTTACCCGCTTGGCTACATCACGAGACACAATAGACTAGTACTGACACTGACAGTGCAGGTGCTCTCATCGAACGCGATCGAGGCTGAGTATACGGTGTAATAATGCAAACTTAATTAGTGATCCAGGTATAATATTTGAATCGATCATTTCAAGCATCAAGTTGACCAAACCGCAAATAAGGACAAGGTCGATGTTTCATACTATAAGGCAACCGTAACGTCATACTATAACACACACTTGAAAACGTCGCAGTGCTAAAGGGTATTACTGGCAGCTGATAGACAATTAACCTTGCGGTTATATCCAATGAATACAAATTAAAAAAGATCCATAGTCACAAGAAATCTCCATCGTGCGATTCCAACTATAAGCATCACAATAGTGATGATACAAAGTGTTTGCGACAACGACAGCCCTATTATCGGCACCAGTCAAAAACACATGCAAAGGCAAATCATTTCTTCGCCTGAACCTACACGCGAACATATGGTACATATATAGAGCGTCATACTAGTGTATTTGGATATGGGGCGGTGGGGTAGCCTAGTGGTTAAAGCGTTGGCTCGTCACGCCGAAGCCCCGGGTTCGAATCCCCACATGGGTACAATGTGTGAAGCCCATTTCTGGTGTCTCCCGCCGTGATGTTGCTGAAATATTGCTAAAAGCGGCGTAAAACCAAACTCAGTCAGTCAGTCAGTATTTGGATGTTTTGTATTGAACGAGAAGATACCATGGGAGCGGAGAATGTCCCAATGAGAGATGTCCCATGACATCTTTGAGTTCTAGGGGCAGTGGGGTAGCCTAATGGGTAAAGTGTTGGCTCGTCACGCCGAAGACCCGGGTTCGAATCCCCACATGGGTACAATGTTTATGTTGTTGTTTATTTCCATAATGCATGTGTGGCCATAGGCCCAAATACATGACACAGTAATAATAATATGGGTGATATTATAAACAATCATTTTCGCTTCTTAAAAGCAACATGAATGAATGCCATTAATTTTGTAAGCACAGAGTGTGAAGTTGTTGACATAAGTTTTGAGAACATGTGTACTGATGGGTTCCTGATCACATAACTTGGTAGAATAGCTTTTCTGATGGTGTCAAGGGAAGGGCATATCAAAGTAAACTGATACAGATCTTCGATTTCATAGTGTGGACAGATACGTTGCTCACGGGGCCTCTGTAGTTGGATAGTGCCGTCAGATGCATAAAGTACTGGATCAGACTCTTCATCTCCCGTCTCATCGACTACCACGCAAGGCATATGGCATGTTGTATAATCTGGACAATGTAGGTCGACATACATGGTGTTCCGACGTTAGAACCCTACTACAAAATGTTGGAATGGGACATGCTTGGGCTTCACAAGATGTTGGTATTACGGAATATTTTGTTCAGGACTTTAAACAGCGTTTATCAGTTCCCAACAGTGGCATGACCTTTTAACCAGCAGTTCAAGATATGATACATACTTAACATACAAAACTCTTGATGCTGAAGAATACTTATTAGACTCTTCACTACAAACTTTTGCGCTCCAGTTGGACAGAGTTGGACATACAAGTCTACAGACTGACAGAGTCCTGAACAAAATATTCCGTAATACCAACATCCAAATGTGAAGCATTTTCCCACTCAAGTTGATGTTTCGAAGTACGTCCATCAGTTTTGTTCTATTGATAGAATCAAAATGCTTTCCTAAAGTCAATTAGAGCAACATATAAGCGACCTTTTCTTTTACTGAAATATTTCTGTACGTAGGCAGTTAGTGTGAAGATGTTGTCCGTAGTAGTGTAGCCCTGACGAAATCCTGCTTGTTCTTCACATATCTCGTGATTAATTTCAGTCCACGTCGATAGGCGCTTGTTAAGGATAGATGTGAAAACCTTTCCAAACACACTGTTTAAGGTAATTCCCCGGTAGTTATTCGGGTCTTTGAGGCACCCGCTTTTATGTATAGGAACAATAATGCCACTTTCCCAGCCGTTGGGAAACACCTATATCAAGGATTTTGTTGAAGAGTTTTTCTAAGTAAGGCAATATATACTTGAGTGATGATTTTAGTAATTCTGGTATTATATAATCCGGACCAGATGACTTTCCACTCTTTAATTTATTCACAGCTTCCGTGATTTCTTTAGCTGTAATGGGGACATCAACAGTATCAATATGGTTAAGCCCATTAATGTGTGAAGCCCATTTCTGGTGTCCCCCGCCGTGATGTTGCTGGAATATTGCTAAAATCGGCGTAAAACCAAACTCAGTCAGTCAGTCTTTGAGTCCTATATTCTATTATATACCCTCTTATCTTGCATTAATCTGTTACTCAATAAAACAAACCATAGCGTATAGCAATGTAGAACCGGCAGGGGTTCAATACTGAATCTGGGGTGCAATACGGGATTTGATGACGTCATCCGTATTGCACCCCTGTATCACTATCCTAAGTTTACATGGGTATGTAATAAAAAGATTGAACGGAACCTAATTTACACTGAGGCCACTAACAGCGATATTGTAGTTACTCTTCAAGTATTGATCGAGTGTGTACACATACAAAACAATATGATAGTATCATCTTTTCCAGTAGCCGGGTCAAATATAATTACAAATTCTACAAAATTGTGCAAAACTTGAAAATATCTTTCCATTATTGAACTTTCCAAGGTACAGTAGGATGTCTGGATTAAAGTGGTAAACAAAATGTACAAAAGAGCCATTTTCTCAAAAGGTGTGACATGGGCATATTAAAACCAGACAATTGGCATCATAAGCATCGAGTTACGTAACTGTGAGTGAGTGAGTATGGTTTTACGCCGCTTTCAGTCATATTCCAGCAATGTTACGGCTGGGGACACCAGAAATTGTACACATTGTACACATGTTGGGAATCGAACCCGGGTCTTCGGCGTGACGAGCGAACGCTTTAACCACTAGCCTACCCTACTGTCCCCGTAGGTTACTGGAATGTACTACGACAGGCATGAACCAAGTCAGCGATACTGACCACAATCCCGTACAAGGAAACCAGGCTGAATAATTATGGATGTGTAAGAAGCAGAGCACACGTATCTTACTTTGTTGACATGATCTAAGACAAATTTGTAGTCTTTCTCGTTGAAGATCTCGGCCTTTGGCCTTGTTGGTGGGCGTGGCGGGGGGTGGGGTCTGGCTTCGAGACATCGTGCTGTTGGTCCGACCATTCATACTCGGCTGTGAAAACAATAGAGAACAATACATCATACCACTGGAGTTTTAACTTCTTTAAGTTTCCTGACCAACTGCAATGTTGCCTGTCCATAATTGTTGAGAAACAAAGCAATAGTATCAAAAGGGTAACTTTACAACAATACCGTTTAATGTTAGTTCTCAGAAAATACAATGAACTGGTGGTGTGTCAACTTCGTAACTTTAATTCAATGAATTTATCAATTCCTTGATTTTTCCATATCTGAAAGCTCAGGAATTAACCGCTTTCAGGCTTTGTCCGTTAACAAATCAATTTTCACACGCTTCAATGCCGTCATTCTTACCGACATTTATTATCGGGGACTCTTCATTCAAGCGTCCCGGATTTTATAGACATTCGTTTTCCTACAGACGCGGGGGGGGAATGTCTCCCGTACACAAGTTGATCGAAGCGAGACTCATTTATTTACATGAAAGCTCAGGAATTAACCGCTTTCAGATCCATCGACTACCTGTCACCATATAACCATTCCCTTCCCTACAAACTAGTGTTGTACATATACCTGCACTGAACAAAAAAACCTTATCTATCGAACGAGAAAAAACCCCTTTTCCCTGCTTGAATGACTGGTTTAGTAGTGAGTGAGTGAGCGAGTTTAGTTTGACGCCGCACTCGGCAATATTCCAGCTATATGGCGGCGGTCTGTAAATAATCGGGTCTGGACCTGAAAATCCAGTGATCAACAGCATGAGCATCGATCTGCGCAATTGGGAACCGATGACATGTGTCAACCAAGTCAGCGAGCCTGACCACCCGATCCCGTTAGTCGCCTCTTACGACAAGCATAGTCGCCTTTTGTGGCAAGCGTGGGTTGCTGAAGACCTATTCTACCCCGGATCTTCACGGGCCGGTTTAGTAGTGGCATACCTGTATCAATTTCACCGACAACATTCAGATCTATAGAATTCTTTATGGAAGAACTTCTTTGAAAATAATATGATAACAATTGATATGATCAACGAATATTAGTTGTTTTTTTTACGGAGTCGATAAACGGAACTGTTTCTTTGGTTCGCTGTGATCGATAATATCGATTGATTAATGAGCACGGTCGTAAATGCGTCAACACAAGAACAAGAAGGCCCAACAAGAATTAGTTTGTAGCACGGTTATGTGGGCTTTGTCCGTTAACAAATCAATTTTCACACGCTTCAATGCCGTCATTCTTACCAACATTTATTATCGGGGACTCTTCATTCAAGCGTCCCGGATTTTATAGACATTCGTTTTCCTACAGACGCGGGGGGAATGGTTCCCGTACACAAGTTGATTGAAGCGAGACTCATTTATTTATATTAGTTCGTTGGATATGCACGGAGAACTTAATGGTATTTTAATGTTGTAAGGACTAATGCGATTCGGGGTTGAAACAGTGCACGGCTGTAAACAGTTCAGCCGAATTTTCAGACAATTCTTAATCATTGTTTAGTCGGACGATTTTTTGTCAAAGTACGGTAATATAACTAAACAATCGATATGTGTCTTATTTCTACACACCGTAGAGTAGAAGTCAATTTACAGACAAATATTTATCTGTTGTGTTGACGCCTTCGGTGAGTTCATTCTGAAATCAACCTAAGATAAAGATATCTGATATGGGCAATCGTTTAATTTAACGTGAAGTCATATGATGAAGAGTTTACCATGTCTGAAATCCAATGGTGTCATTTGGTTGTGAGTTGTTGTTTTTTATACGCCGCTTTTAGCAATATTCCAGCAATATCACGGCGGGAAACACCAGAAATGGGCTTCACATATTGTACCCATGTGGGGAATCGAAATCGGATCTTCGGCGTGACGAGCCAACGCTTTAACCATTAGGCTACCCCACCACCCATACATTGAGGTGATAAGGACCAATCTCCTCGGTTAGTATACATTATCTGGGAGGTGTATCCATGTAAAAGCGGCGTAAAAACTCCTTAACAAATGCTTTAACTATTCAGGAGAATAACATAATATGTTTATTTTTCCTAGAATATTCAAATTTGAGGCTCGAGAATGTAATTTGGGAACCATTATCATTATCGTTATTTTTAAACCTTTTAAATTAATAAATAGATATTTATTTCAAAACGTATTGATACGCAGTGAAACACATTTTCAACCAATCAGCTAACACCACCCTCCCAATTACTTTTAGAGTATTCATTTATGATTCTGTCAAACAATATGTCATCAATATTTAAACTGATCGATGAGTATCAATCAGTCGGTTCAGACATAAACCTATCGGACGTGAGATGCATGTTCAAACACGGGCCCGTGTCAAAATTATCACGTTATTAAAATCGATACTTAATTAGGCTATTACAATTACTGCTTTGTTCCATAGCCTTTAATAATTTGTAATCATTCATTATTCATGTCGCAAAAAATAAAGGTTTTCGCGATATCCCATAAGCTAAACAAATTTCCATTATCCTGTTTAATTACTAAAGTAAACACTCGCCCACAAGCCTATAGCAGTTTTGACGAACGATCACGTATTTGAACAACAAAACATTTATTCAGAATCAGACCAAATACAAGTCAAACGTTATATCGCACATACCGTGTTATACGTAATGACTTTACACTTGCATTAAACACGGTATAGATGTTTATCATGGAAAACATGATCTATATCTGCGTAATACCTTATCCGTTAAGTAAACCTAGGTGTATTAAACATGTCCAATGTATAAACCTGTGGATCAAGCGGTGTATATTACAAATCTCTCCACATCAAAGACATATTCATATATCCGTAACTGCGGTTCAAGACCCGGCTTGTAAACTTCGGTAAACATTTGCGCTTCTGATACGACATAAAATCAATAACGCGATGAATTACACAATCATTTCTTTTCAAGAAATTTGTAATTGGATTTTTTACAATCCAAATTTAAAACTTAGAGAAACACAACTTACCAATGTTCAGGTGTACACTTAAATGGGAATGTAGAATGTGCTCTATTATTTAAGTTAAGAGGCCGTCGTTTTAATAATTTACAGCTAATCCATTACACCCATCCGGATGTTCTTAAACAAGGGGATATATTCATGGAAACAGATTGGTATCCAAGGACCAATAATAAACAATGAGGTGGTTGTAGTAACTATTGTTGTGAACAGCTGTCGGCGCTTTGAGGGCGTTGTCAGCGCTGTAACAAGAGACGGCGGGGAAGCCTGCGTTTATGGGTTCAGGAATGTGTCAGGTAAAGAACTGTTTAAGACAGGACCACTTCCAAATGATCTTGCGTGAGTGAGTGATTTTGTTTTTACGCCGCTTTTAGCAATATTCCAGCAATATCACGGCGGCTGACACCATAAATTGGCTTCACACATTGTACCCATGTGGGGAATCGAACCCGGGTCTTCGGCGTGACGAGCGAGCGCTTTAATCACTAGACTACCCCACCGCCCCATATGATCTTGAAGTCCAGGCAGTAATGGTGTATGACGAGTTCCCTTTAGCACTGTTTTAGGTTTTGGATGGAGGGTGTTTATGATTAATGTTTAATATCAATTAATAACAAATAGCATAAACCTACCTCCACCAATTGTTTCATTGACTGACTCAGTTTATCCCTTGCGTGTGTTGATTTGTGACAAGAAACACCCTTTCACAACAAAATCTCCGCTTGCCCATAACTCGTCTTGACTGCAGGATACGCTCGGCTTATATATAGATGGAGATATTAATTAAGCCATGTCCGGACTGATTGAATGATAACCTCTATTGATAAATATATGACTGCAGCATGCATTCCCCTTATTACAGGAATTAACCGCTTTATGTCAATCTTACCACGTTTCTGAGCTATGCCAACCGTTACACATCTCCCTTTCAGCTCCGACTTTAGACAGTTTTATATTAAAAGAGGGTTCCTTAGAATTCTATTCATTTAACGTTATACCTGTGTATGACTTCTTTATACGGGGACTATAGGTTAGTCTGGGCTGTTGCTTACATCCCAGACTAATGTATTTCATCAGAATTATAAGCTTAAGTTTCACTATGTATTTCTCTCTCTTTGGGGACATAATTACTTAGAGGTACTGGTTACAAGGAACTGTTAAAGGGACATTCGCATAGTAAAACAGACATGGCAAGCCTCTTATCATGATGTCAACGACTACTGACGCTAAGACTGATTCAACAATGTCAAATGTAGATCTATGGTGGGCCAAGTCAAGAAGATGGTATTATATATCTTTCTGTTTTTGAGTTTCTTGCTATTTTCATACGATTTTGAAATAAGGTTTAGTGTCACGGGAATATTGGTAGTGCTGACCTTGACCCCCGTTGATGACGTTGACGGTCTGGACGAGGTGGAGGCGTTTTGTGACGCGACCGTAGCCGGCCGATTTGTCTCCTTGGACGCGCCGCTTCCCATTGTGCAAGCTAACAGATGGTGACGTCACTCAGGCTGTGCGTTACGTGGTGGGTAGGGGCATGCTCGGTTATCTGCAACACAGAGTCAAACCTAGTCAGACTATGTTATTCTGGTGAGTAAAAGTAAACTGTGACTGGTTTGCAGAGTGAGTGAGTGAGTGAGAACATGTGTGATAGTGCTGATGCTTCGCACCCGTGAGTGAGTTTAGTGTTACGCCGCACTCAGCAATATTCAAGCGGCGGTCTGTAAATTATCGAGCCTGTACCAGACAATCCAGTGATCAACATCATGAGCATCGACCTACGCAATTAGGAACCGATGACATGTATCAACCAAGACAGCGAGCCTGACCACCCGATCCCGTTAGTCGCCTCTTACGACAAGCATGGGTAACTGAAGATCACTTCTAACCCGGATCTTCACGGGTCGCTTCGCTCCGAGGGGGTACGGAATGATCACCAGCAACCTATGCTGCTCATAAGAGGCGAACCAACTGATCGGGTGGGCAGGCAGGCTCGATGACATTCTGATGACGTGGGTCGTTCTTCACGCTATATATCACCGGATTGTCTGGTCCATGATTTACAGGCCGCGTCATATCTAGAATATGTTTATTACCAAACGGAATTAAACAGTTAAACAAACAACAAATACTTCATTAACACGTGCGTGCATTTTCACGAATCGTGATTTACAGTGTTAAAGTGGAAGTGGGATCATGCAAACTGTGATGAAATTAATTAAGATACTGAGCAGTCCCTCGCATGCTAACGTGTCAGATTAGCGTGGGAGTGAAGCAACGAGTGAATGTTTTCAAAAGAGCACCGTAACGCAAATGGCAAGCAAATACTTGTAAACAGGGTGAAACTGAAAAATTCGAACCCATGAAAATTAGTTCTAGCACGACTGAAATGCCTGGACCAACCTTTAGTTGGTCTTGGCACGACACAGTGACGACGGCAATATTTACAGCGATTCGGGATGTGTTTGAGGCGCTCCCACGGAGTTGACAGGACCAAATGCCGCGTCTGATATTTTTTTAAAACAACGGCCATATTAACACACAAAGTGTTCTAGAAAATTGTCAAATGCAGCATATGTCATAATTGGGATTACACTTTCTAAGATATGTCATATCCCAAATATACCATATAATATATGTTTCTGTAGTACTGAGGGCGCTGCTGTAGCCCAGTGGTTAAAGCGTTCGCTCGTCACGCAGAAGGCCCGGGTTGGTTCGATTCCCCACATGGGTACAATATGTGAAGCCCATTTCTGGTGTCCCCCGCCGTGCAATTGCTGAAATATTGCTAAAAGCGGCGTCAAACCATACTCACTCACTCACTGTAGTACTGAGGTTTCACGCACCTGTTCGGTTGATGAAACACTCTACACCGACTCGGTAAACGTCTCAGCCACGGCACTGGACTGGACGGGTACCTCCCACCGAATTCAGTAATCGTGTATAACTCTGGGGGGTAGACTGTTCGCTTGTCCCCTCAGTCAGACAAACATTTGTACCAGTAACCATTAACTTCCATTATATCTGACTCCCTGTGTGTGTAATGTTCAATACACTCACAAGTATATACAAACAGCAGCTTCATATGCAATTAACATTCTAGAGAGCGAGATAACGTAATATATGAGGCATTCGTCACCACTCGCCCCTTCCCGTAACCTCGCTATTCGGCTTGTCCCGGAATAACACGAGTTGGTCACGAACGTATATGAAGCTGTCTATATATTCTGTATTAGTTTTCTATGTACAGAAAGGACGGTATTTCAAAGAGACTGACTCACCGGTTTATCAGAAGTCATTCCACTGCTGTGGTAGAAATTGAATCCACGAGTGCAACTGTTTGAGTTTGATAAAGAGCAATATATAAACCTGACATGTACCGCTACTTTGAATAATAAACACGCTTACACTTATTGGCTTTGCGTATACACTGGAACACGTAACATGGGGGAAAGGATCGAGGAAGAGGGGGTGGGGCGTACGGACCCTGTCGGAGTCTACGTCGAAGAATTCCCTATAAGCCTATATTCGCGGGTTCGAATCCCTGTTCGTTTTAACTATGTTTCTAAGTTTGCCAGCACCATGTCCATACACCAGGGTTTTAAAGGTCTTAAGATGTGCATCACCTGAAACGCGCATCAAGCTGATTCAACGTGATATAGTGAGTGAGTGAGTTTGGTTTTACGCTGCTTTTAGCAATATTCCAGCAATATCACGGTGGGGGACACAGAAATGGGCTTCACACATTGTACCCATGTGAGGAATCGAACCCGGGTCTTCTGCGTGACGAGCGAACGCTTTAATCTCTCGGCTACACCAACGTGCATGGTATAAACGAAATATTGTTCAAAGAGGCGTTAAACCAACCTCAGTCACTAATGAGACAAACACTAAGCGTTGCTTCTCTTGAATTCATAAATATTCCAGTGAAACTTTCATAGACACGGACATGACTTAAACAGTAGACTGTAAAGTACCAATATCTCTACCAAGCGGATACAGTGAAAGTTTCAAAGACACGGACATGACTTAAACAGTAGGCTGTAAGTACTTATATCTCTACCAAGCGGATGCAGTGAAACTTCACGTCGGAGCTTTTGTGCATGTATTAGCTCTAGAATTGCCACAGTTATCCAAGTAGGATTGTATCGTCTAAGGAACCATAACTGATCTAATGAGCCATTCGCAGTTTCACTGTGCTAGAGTTGGTACTTAGACTTGCATGGCTTAATCTTTGAGTAGATTGTCCAGAATAACATGTTCCATTTCTATCTCTTATTCCGGATTCCACCACGAAGTAACGTGCCTTATACGTGTCCTGTAAGAGGGGTTTCCGGACTGTCTGGGTCCACTCTTACGGAGAATTCACATGCATGGACAACTTGTGCAGATATTAGGTTTACCGTAAACCTAGTCATTTAGCGCAACAGTAAGTAAAACTAACACTTATATATCAAGCAGTACTTCATTAAACCCAGTGGCCACGTAGTTACCAATAGAACACTGTACTTTGTTCGTAACGCTAATACAATCAGATTGGAACATCACACCACATTAGCTACAACCACCACTCAGAGCATCACAACAGGCTAAGGAGTATCACCACAGACCTTATAGTTAGTGACTGCCAACATTGAGAGCATCACAACACACCCAGTTAAAGCCAACATCGAGAGCATCACAACACACCCAGTTAAAGCCAACACCGAGAGCATCACAACACACCCTGTTAAAACCAACATCGAGAGCATCACAGCACACCCAGTTAAAACCAACATCGAGAGCATCACAACACACCCAGTTAAAGCCAACATCGAGAGCATCACAACACACCCAGTTAAAGCCAACATCGAGAGCACCACAACACACCCTGTTACTGCCAACATCGAGAGCACCACAACACACCCTGTTACTGTCAACATCGAGAGCACCACAACACACCCAGTAAAATCCAACATCGAGAGCACCACAACACACCCTGTTTAAGCCAACACCGAGAGCACCACAACACACCCTGTTAAAGCCAACACCGAGAGCACCACAACACACCCAGTTAAAGCCAACACCGAGAGCACCACAACACACCCTGTTACTGCCAACACCGAGAGCATCACAACACACCCAGTTAAAGACAACATCGAGAGCATCACAACACACCCAGTTAAAGCCAACACCGAGAGCATCACAACACACCCAGTTAAAGCCAACACCGAGAGCATCACAACACACCCTGTTAAAGCCAACATTGAGAGCCTGTTACAACCAGTTAAAGCCATTGAGAGCACCACAACACACCCAGTTAAAGCCAACATCGAGAGCAACACCACAACACACCCTGTTAAAGCCAACATCGAGAGCATCACAACACCGAGAGCACCCTGTTGCTGCCAACATCGAGAGCACCACAACACACCCTGTTACTGCCTACACCGAGAGCACCACAACACACCCTGTTAAAGCCAACATCGAGAGCATCACAACACACCCAGTTAAAGCCAACATCGAGAGCACCACAACACCCAGTTAAAGCCCATCGAGAGCACCACAACACACCCAGTTAAAGCCAACACCGAGCCAACAACAAACCAAGAGAGCACCACAACAACACACCCTGTTACTGCCAACACCTGTTACTGCCAACATCGAGAGCACCACAACACACCCTGTTACTGCCTACACCGAGAGCACCACAACACACCCTGTTAAATCCAACATCGAGAGCACCACAACACACCCTGTTAAAGCCAACATCGAGAGCACCACAACACACCCAGTTAAAGCCAACATCGAGAGCACCACAACACACCCAGTTAAAGCCAACACCGAGAGCATCACAGTAACAACTGTTCATCAAGCTGTTTGTGGACGCATCCCCTGATACTAGTAAGAATGATATATCGCTTCATAAACCCGTTCACCGGAACTACAGACATAATATTCGCAGAAGCTGTTTACAAAATCACATCTGTTGTGTCAATGATTGAGAGCTAACTATATGAAGAACAGCGCTGCGGTTTGCCCACACCCTAGCGATCTCTACAGACATGACATCAACAAACTGATAGCTATATGCTAGATTACATATGGATGACATGATTACATATGGAGGACGTGCCACAGACGACTGCGACTAACCTTGTTAGAGTCCAGGTCAAGATTCATAACAAAGTCTCCAGCACAGCTAACACCACCGTGACCATTTCATAGGGTTCAGCTCCTCGCAGTTTGCTTAAATGTCGTCTGCCACTTAAATATTTCCTCGTTTCACATTGTCAGACAGTTTCTGTCTTCTGCAAAAGGTGTCGTCTGCTGGCATACGCCATCATCGACCAGTGACGCTCGCCCCGTTTACAGCTCTCGCGCATCCCTCCACCAGCTCGAAAGGGTCAGCGCTTATTTCCACAAAATGATTACTACTTTCAGTATCGATCCCGACAATGGCGACGGGATCACCAGTAAGCGCACAACTTTCGTGCTCAAGTCTGCAGTCAGCTGCATGGGCTGAACTTATTGATTGAAATTCGGTACTTAGTACACGGCTTAAAAAGC